TATCTTGTCCAAGGCTGAATTCCGCGGCGGAGACCCAAACGAGATCGTCGACGCGGAATGGGTAAGGAAGACGCTGGCGATTGGCCTGTTGGCTCATGCGTTGCTGCGTCTTGGCCATCTGGTCGCATGCCTTGACAGGTAATTCTTCCATCCGACGCAAGAAAAGAAGATGGTCGTCGCTCTCGGCCGTTCGTAGAGTGATGGTGTCCAACAGCGAAGTGACCGGCGAGCCGTGCTCGAACTCGAAGGGCGACATCCCGATAGCCGGGTAGATGGAGGAGTTGTAGGCCAACTCGACATCCGGCAACCGCTCAACCCAATCCTTCTGGTCAGGACGAATGAGAGTGCGAAGGAGGACCTGTGCGGTCTGGTGCGCCTTCTCCGTTTGGCCATCGGTCTGGGGGTGGCGAGCTGAACACGGCTTGAGAGATGAGCCCCATCGCTTGATGAGCGCCAACCAAAAATTAGACATGAACCGAGTGTCGCGGTCGCAGACGATTTCCTAGGGGTAACCCTTGGTTCGAATCCAATCGGCGTAGAGAACCTCGACCAACTCCGGTTTGGCATGATAGCGGCAAGGCAAAAACATGGCGAACTTGGTGAGTCGGTCGACCACCATGAGAATTCCATCCACGCTGGTCTTGTGCTTGGGGAGCGGGCCGGTAATGTCCATGGCAATCGCTTCCCTTCGCCTCAAAGGGACCGGTAATGGTCGTAACTCGTACGGACGATGGTAGGGGGATTTGCAGCGTCGGCAAACCTCGCATGACTTGCAGTAGCGTGTGACGTCGCCGAGAAGGTCGGGCCACCAAAGTCGCTCGCGAAGTCGGCCAATCGTGTCATTGACTCCAAAGTGTCTGGTGGCGGGAGCATCGTGGAATTCGCCAAGAAGCCGTGTACGCAAGTGAGGATCAATCGGTACACAAAGAAGGTCCTTCCCCCGCATGTGGACAAGCAAGTGCCACTCTTGGATCCGGTAGTAAGAAGGCGCCGGATTAGGAGAGGAGCAATTTGCGTACTTGTCGCAAAACTCAGGGTCGACTTGGTAGCCGCGGATGAAGCTGTCCCGCAAGTCGTCGTTAATCTCAAAAGTTGAGTAGACTACGGTACAATGATCCGGGCGTCGTGAAAGAATGTCCGCAAAACGGTTTGACTTTCCCGGAATGTGGTCGGGGAAAAAGTCAAACTGGTCGATGAAGGTCATCCAACAGGCAATGGTGCTATTGACCGTGTCTTGGGTTTTGTAGAAGATCAATGGATTGTTATCCGTTACCAATCGGAACTGCCGTCGACCGAGAAGAAAATGCTGCCAGCGTTTGAGCGCATGTACGAAGGCCAATAATTCCTTCTTCCGTGCATCGTTAATCGAGTGTATGGCGGGCACTTTCTTGCTAAAGTACTCGATCGGGTGCCAGTCCACACCGTCATGTTGCTCGAGGACGGCACCAATACCATAGCCGGACGCATCGGTAGTGACACGTGTCGGCAAAAGCGGATCGTAGATGTGCAACACCTCCGCGGATGTGGCTTTGAGAGCCAAAAATGAAGTCCGCGCATGGTCGTCGAAGTCGAATGGCCGGTCCTCGCATTGAAGCTTGGATGAAGGAGCCGCGATCTTCGAGTATCCCTTGATGAAGCGTTGATAGTAGCCGACTAAGCCAAGGAAGGAATGGACATTTGTGACGGTCTTCGGCTCCGGCCACTCTTGGATGGCTTGAATCTTGTCCGACAACGGACTGATGCCCTCTGGTGTGACAAAATGGCCCAAGTATTCCAGCTCTTGCCAGACAAATTCGCACTTGTCACGGTTGGCTTTGTACTTGGCGCGGCGGAGCGTCTCCAACACTCGTCGAAGGTGCTCAAGATAATCCTCCAATGTCCGGCTATAGACGAGGATATCGTATACGAACCGGTCCAGCATCGCACGGAACTCGTTGGTCATTGCCACTTGAAAGGTCGTCGGGGCATTGGTGAGGCCAAAAGGCATAACGATCCACTCAAAATGCCCGTACCACGTCTTGAACGCGGATTTGTAGCAATCTTGCGGGTGTATCGAGATTTGATGGTAGCCCGACTTCAAGTCCAACTTTGAGAAGAATTTTGTGCCGCCCAAACGCTCGAGAAGGTCGTCAATCCGCGGAAGAGGTCCCGCATTCTTGACGGTTTGTGAGTTGAGCTTGCGGTAGTCGATGCACAAGCGAAGATCCTTGTTCTTCTTCCGTACGAAGAGAACTGGCGCACCGTATGGTGAGCTGCTACGGCGGATCCAGCCCTTGTCCAAAAGATCGTCGAGTTGAGCGCGGAGAACCTCAAGCTCTTCCTCGCTCATGCGATAGATGCATCCTTTCGGCGGCACGACACCGGCCTCAAGAATGATCTCGTGGGAGATCGGCCGATCCGACACTACATCGGTAGGAGACTCGAAGATGTCGGTGAACTCGTCGAGCAGCCGCGCCACTCGGGGGTCTGAAGACAAGTCCGCAAGTGAAGATTCGATCGTCGCGACGGCTCGTAGAAAACATAGCCCTATCTCGTCGGTCCGCTCATAAGCGCAAGTGGCCCGAAAAGACTTGGCCGTTACAACTTGGCACCGGATCGAGGAGTGCGGAAGAGGAAGGGCACACAACACCTCGATGCCGAAGGCGTCGCGAACGGTAAGTGTCCGCTGATGGAAGTTACCCGTGTGATCCACACTTGCAAGCCAAGGCATCCCCAATATAATGTCGAAGTTTGTGTCCAAGACGTCAAACGTCACCGGTTCGCAGGCATGAGGTGCGAAATAAACCGGCACGGCTTCAATGCAGCGATCGAGGAGTTGTTGCGTCGGACCGTCCGCCTACTTGATCGCCGTCGGGTTTGGCTTCCTTGAGCGCCAAGGCCGGCCCTTTGGATAAAGGACTGGCTGATGAAATTGCGAGTCGCGCCGCTATCCAGCAAAGCGCTGCAGGACGCTTGCCCAACTTGGATGCGGACATAAAGGAGCGGTGCGTTGTTATCATCGTACCACTGCATGCGAAACTCGCGGGCCACCTTGGTAACATACGCAAGGATGTCCCCCACTGCAGCTTCGTCATCCGTCGACGAAGATGGTGGTGCATAGAAGGCCAAGTATGTGTGGAGATGGGCGCATAGTGCTGCGCATTGCGGTCCCGTCAAGCAGCTTGTGGAAGGAAGAGGAAGCCATGCAAAATCCTCGAACGTCAACGGGTCCAAGAACTCTATGTTGAACTCGTGCGTTGAATCCCTTGAAGAACCACTTGAAGACGATGCATTGTTGCTGTTGCCGGACGGAGAAGAAGTCGCACACACATATTGTCCTTGAGCTTGAGAACCTAGCGAAGGAACGAGCCGGGCAGCATAGTCCTCATAAGAATACAAAAGAGGACTGTCGACTTCCGCATGTGCCTCGGAATGAAGAGAGGTCGCTCGCGAAGCAACCGATTCCGAAGGCGTCGAGAGTGCAGCCGCATCACTCTCGGCGGTGCTCACTTTCCCGAAGGGGATTTGGCTTGGACCGGTGTGGGGCACGTTGCGGTGTCGTGCACCGCGCTGCTGCACCACAAGCAACATCGGTACTTAAGACCGGATGCGGTATACGCCTTCCGAGATACCGTAATGTGTCCAAGGCTCTTGAGCCGCTGGTCCGGCCCCGAGGGATGAATTGGTGCGTGTCTTCAGTTTGCCGCGTCCTCGCCCTCTGGCGGGGCGGCCACCATCCCGGGCGGCTGCCAATCTGTCGTTCAAAGGGTCGGTCGTTGTAGTTGCTGCGACCACAACCAATTTCGGCCGATGTTGTTCTCTGCCCTGGCCTGCAGCAGACGAATGGCCCAAATTCTTGGCTTCGATGTTCGTCAGGATGATCTGCGAGGCTTTATCAAAGAGCTGCTCACTTGTGGTGAGCGTCTCCGCAACTTGCGTCAATGCGTTCTGCAACATCGGACAACTCCTCCTGATGAAGAAGTGTTTCATAGCGACAAATGTCGACGGCAAGTTGGGCGTGGATGCCAAGCGTTGGTACTCGGTGATCCAGTCCGTGCTTGGCAGGTCGTTCTGATAGAACCGTTGAAGTTTCTTGGCTGCCTGAAGCTCGGGCGGCTCCACTTGGAACCGCTTATGCCATGCTGCCTTGAGATCAACCCAGCTGATCTTCGTATGCAGCTCGGCAACTGCGACGTTGTGCGTGGACAACATGTTGTCCAGCCATGCCTGGCACGCTCCTCCCGAGCGGGAGTATAAGTATGTGTGCCGGTTCGGGTTGATGGCGTGGTGAATGTCCAACTTCAACTCGAACTGCCGCCACCATGGGATCGGGTCCGTCTTCGTTGCATCACAGAAGATCGGGGGGCCGTCAAACTCCGGGATGCTCTCACGATTGGTCGCGGTCGGACTGGCTGCGGCAGCGCAAATCTGCTGGTCAATCCGCTGATTTGTCGTTACGGCGCCGTCCTTGAGAGTCTCGACGTCGATTTCCAAGACGTTGACGCGGTCCGTCAAGTTGGAGGGTCCAGCGGGGGTGGCTGATGCAACAGCCGACGTACCCGGTGAAGCAGTTCATCAATAACGCGAATCTGCTTCCGGACCAGGGTGTCCATGCAGAGGATGTCCTCTTGCTGTGCTACACAGGTGGCGACCAAGTCGCTCACATGTTCGATTGTGGTTGCAAGGCCACGCACAGCAGAGGGGGCACCCTCCTCTTCAGCAGCCACTGCCCATTCGCCAACGATCACCTCGATATCCCCCTCGCATCCGAGGAGTTTGTCTCGGCGTAGTCGACGGCATTCGTCTGCGGCCGTTGCTGCGGCCTCAGCGTCGGCCTGTCGCTGCTGTTCAGCGAGGCGACGCTGTTCCTCTGCTACCTCATCTTCCTTCTTACGTGCTCATGTTGCCGCAGCTGCCCGTTGCTTGTACTCTGCTACCATGTCCAGCATGTGGGCCTGGCACTGCTGCCGTGTGGCCTGCTGACGTGGCAACTTACCAATGCCGCTGCAGGGGGTGCCCGGAGGGAGATAGAGAAAAGACCAGAGGGGACAACAACATAGGTGGGGAGGGGTGACATAAATCGCCCAGATAAGGAGCCACTAATCAAAAAAGAAAAGTTTAAACTTTGCAAAAATTCGAGAAAAAAGAAAAAATACTCGTTTGCAAGTTCAGTAGGCCCCCCAATCCCCTTGAAGTGCGAAATTATCAATGAGAAAAAATTTCGAACTTTCAGACCGCAAATGACTTTCTGATAAAAGAATTCCGAAAATGAAGTACAAAAAAAAAATCGGAATTACACAGATGAGAGTACGCGCAGTTTGGAGAATGCTAACTGCAAGAGGGATTCCTGTACCGTTTTCAAAAAAAAACGGATTTCGGAATAAAAATATTCCGGATTTTCTAAATAAAAGGAAATTGCAACAGGAAATCGAAATTTTTGAAAAAAAACATATTCCGGATTTTCAACAACGAAATTTTGAAGTTTCAGAAGAAAAACGAAATTGGAAATTTCAGATGTTGCGCTATTGCGATTTTCCACAACAGAGATAGTGAGAAAACAAAATCTAAGGAAAAAAAAAAAAAATCAATTTTCGGCAGTGAGCTCAAAATCGTGATTTTGGGGGCTAACTAGTGTGCTCTAATCAATCAATAAAGACTAATCAGCTACTCAGTCCCCGCACACGTGTCAGATCAGGTTGTCCTGATTCACGTGCGGAGCTCCGATACCAACTGTTACATGCCCAGTTGGGCGATGTACATAATAACCGAGGATCCACAATGTGATAAAAAGGACTGAATGGACAATGCAGTGCAAGTAGAATCTCAACAAGCAATGTGCATTCCGATACATACAAAATGGTGCTTTTATAGCGCAGGGAAGACTTTAGATACAAGTCCTGATCTGACCTGGACTGACCTCATTCACGTAGAACAAGATAGCGAAGCAGAATGCTAGAATGCAAACGACTAGCCCACTCAATGTTTAAACGCAGACCAAACATGCATCATGTCCATCMCAAGGTGTGAAGGAGCCTGGCGCTATCCACAGGAAAGAGGCGCCAGGTCCAGACATACACAGACAAAGAGGAGGGGATCAGATGAAGAAGAGGAAGGGGGAGATGGGAAAGTCGTCAACACCAAGTCTCGTTTCAAATCCCAAATAATCCCTCTTCGATATGTCTTAAGTCCAATGTCGAGTCTGGATCCAAATGTCACCAAGCTCTCTCTCTCTCTCTCTCTCGTGGTCTGCTGATGCAGTGACGTCAAATAGCGGGAGGGTGAGAAGGAGATGGTGGACAGAGAAGAGGAAGAAGAAGAACTATCTCTCTCTCATGTGTCAGGTACTAACCTGTGAAGATGGCACTGTGCTGCAGGTACCTGAAGCTGGAGCAACGGCGCTGCAGGTAAGTATCCCTGAGGAAGCTTCCGGGAAGTTTAAAGGTAGCTTCTAGCTAAAGCCTGAGGAAGCTTCCGGGAATTTCCCAGGTAACTTCTGGTTAAAACCTGAGGGCCTATAGGCCCTTGTTTTCAGGCTGTCAGGCTGAAACGACACGGGGCCTGTAGGTCCTGGTTTTCAGGCTGACAGACTGAAACAGACAAGGGGTGGTTTTCAGGCTGTCAGGCTGAAACAGACACGGGGCCTGTAGGCCCTGGTTTTCAGGCTGTCATGCTGAAACAGACACGGGGCCTGTAGGCCCTGGTTTTCAGGCTTTCAGCCTGAGGGACGCAGGGCCTGGAAAATGGCCCTCGTGTGCAGGCGCAGCATGTAACACTCTCTCTCTCTCTCTCTCTCTCTCTCTCTCTCTCTCTCTCTCTCTGTGTTGCATATTGTAACGTGCAGACCAGAACAAGAACCGACCTTTCAATACAAAGTATAAGATAGCACAACGGAAAACTTAGATACCAGTGATCCGAACAATCAATGTTGCAATGCAGCCCTGAACCTACATCATCATCATCGTTACATGGTGTGAATGGGGCCTGGCGCTTCACACAGGAAGACTGCGCCAGCCCATACCATACACAGAAGAAGAGGAAGGGGATAGACGAAGAGGAGGGGGAGGATGGGAATGTCGTCAACACCAAGTCTTCGGCACAAGCCCACATAGTCCCTCGTCGAAATGTCTGAATCCCAAATGTCAAGTCTGGATCCAATGTCGTCAAGTCTCAAATCACAACTCTGTCTCTCTCTGTCGTAGTCTGAGAAGTCAGGTGGCGAGAGGGTGAGAAGAGAAGGTGGACTTAGAAGAGGAAGAAGAAGAACTCTCTCTCTCTCTGTGTCCAGTACTAACCTGTGAAGTTGGCGCCTTGACGCAGGTACCACGAAGATAGAGCTGGAGCGATGGCGCCACAGGTAAGTACCACTGGCCTCCGCCMGTCTCTCTCCCACTCTGCGATCTACCACCTACCAGCGCCCAGCGCTGAAGACTACTCTATGGCTATGGCGCCCAGCGCCGAAGACTACAGCTAGCGCTACTACTACTTAGCGCTGAAGACTACTGCAGCGCTCCTCCTGAGTGCTACGGCCAAATCCTGAAGACTACCAGTGCCTACTGAAACTACCTACCCGTGAAGTGCCTAGGACAGTCCTATGTGCTTCTCGGGTGTGCCTCCTGACTCCTGCGAGCAGTCCAGGAGACTGCTCTTGCCAATGCCGAAGGCAGGCAGGGGCTGCAGCTGCAGCTCTTGCTCGAGCACGTGAGGAACAGGCTATTTTGGGCCTGTTCCGCATCCCTGTTTACGTGCCTGAGTCTTAGGGTCAG